GGATCAGGAGGAGGAGGAAGAGGAGGAGGAGGAGGAGGAGGAGGAAGAGGGAGGAGGAGGAGGAGGAGGAGAAGAGGGAGGAGGAGGAGGAGGAGGAGGAGGAGGAGGAGGAGGAGGAAAAGGAGAGGAAGGAGGAGGGGAAGGACCACCTGGCGGTTAGTGTAGCGCGCATGTGTCATGCGTGCATCGGGGCCCTCGGCTGCCCACGGCCGTCCGCGTGGAGGTCCGACCACCCGCGGGTGCCCGCGATCTCGGCGACGACGGCCCCTCGGGAGCCCCCCCGCGGGCCCGACCTCTGGCCCAGACTGTCCGGTGGGAGTCGCCTCGCTGCCGGGCGTGGGGGTCTGTCTGCGTCCAGGCCCCTGGAGGAAGGGAGAGGGAGGAAGGGTAAGGATGACGATGCCGATGACGATGACGGTGATGATGATGGTGGTGATGATGACGATGACGGCGGCGATGACGATGAGGATGAGGATGGGGATGGGGATAAGGATGATGACGCTGATGATGATGACGATGAGGATGAGGATGAGGGTGCGTATTGTGATGATGATGGTGCTAATGATGCTGATGATGATGCTGATGATGATGATGATGATGTTGATTATGCTGATGAGTATTGTGATGATGGTGGTGATGGTACTGCTGCTGATGATGATACTACTAGTGATTATGCTGATGAGGATGGTGATGATGGTGGTTATGATGATGATCCGGATGATGATTATGCTGATGGTGGTGATGACGCTTATGATGATGCTGCTGATGGTGGTGATGACGCTTATGATGATGATGCTGATGACGATGATAATGAAGATGACGAGGGTGGTGATGATGATAGTGTTGGTGATTGTGTGATACGTCTGCTTGTGATGACGATGACGACGATGGTAATAACGATAAGCATGATTATAATGATAGTGGTGGTGATGGTGATGGTAATAGTGATGTTGATGATGCTGATGATGCTGATGATGCTGATGGTGATGTAGTTGTTGGTGGTGCTGATAATGGTGATGATGGTGGTGATGATGTTCATGATCATAATGCTTTGGTGACGATGATGTTCGGAAAGGAGTGGGGATGGCGATGGGGATGAGGTTGAGACTGAAGATCAGGATAAGGATGAGGACGACGATGAGCATGCTGATGATTATGATGATGAATCATGTTTTTGGTGAGAGCCAAAATGATCATGATCAAACTTGTTGTGATTGTTACGGTGCTTCGATGGATAGACGAGGTCGAGGTCAAGGACGATAATGAGGATCATGATATGGATGATAAGGAAGAGCAGCAGGGGGATGAGGATGAAGAGGGTGAGGAGGACGGGGGAGGAGAAGGATGAGGAGAAGGAAGGCAGGCATGATGCTGATAAGGAGAGGATGCAGAGAAGGAGGATGGAGAAAGAGGGGAAGGCATAAGAAGAGGAGGAGGAAGAGGGGGAGGAGGAGGGTGGACTGTAAACACCGCCGCTCGCGGCTTCTTTGCCTCCCTCACGGGGAGGTTCCAGCTACGACGGCCTCCCCGAAGAGTACCGCGATCGCCTCGCCAGCGACGAGGCCCTCTACCGCATCCAAAGGGAGAGAGAGAGAGAGAGAGAGAGAGAGAGAAAAAAACAAAAAGGAGATAGAGACAAAGAGACAGAGAGAGAGCGAGAGCAAAACGCACAAGTACCTCCTCCTTCCTCTCTTCCTCTGCGCCCTGAGCCGCCCTGGGCCAGTCTGCTACCATGCCGCTGCCATGTCGGAGCCTTTCTCGACCTTCTCGAGGCCGTCGCTGGGCTGTGGGGGGGGGGGGGGGCGCCGCACAGCAGCTGTGTCCCCGAGCCGTGCCTGCGCTCAAGCCTCCTCGCTCCGAAGGGTCTGGGAGAGGGGCTCCGCCGAGGCTTGGCATCGCTCGGACGTGTGCATTTTTCCTTCGGCGAGGACCATCGAGGAGCATCCTTCATCATTTGGCGAACAAACACAAACGAAACCAAAAAAAACACAGGGAATGGACGTCCGAGCGATGGCCAGTGGGCGCCCAAGGGCGCCTCTGTGGGCAGCTCGCGCTGGCGCCCCGTGCCGGTGCCTCGTGCGCGGGGCGGGGCCCCCTCGCGGGCGCCCCGCGGGCGCCCCGTGCTCGCCCCGTGGGCCCCCCCGTGGGCGCCCCGTGCGCGCCCCGTGGGGCCCGCGGAGGTCCTGCCCGTGGGCGCCCCGTGGGCCTCGCGCGGGCGGGCGCCCCGCGGCCGCCCTCCGCGCGCCGGGCGGGTGCGCCGAGGGGCGCCCGCCCGTGCGCCCGCTCGCGGTGCCGCGGCCGCCCGCTCTGCCGAAGGGCCTGTTTTCCACCACACCACCACCAGAAGGTGGAGGGGGGGGAGGAGGAGGAGGAGGAGGAGAGGAGGAGGAGGAGGAGGAGGAGGCGGAGGAGGAGGACGACGAGGGGGACGAGGGGGAGGAGGAGGAGGAGGAGGAGGGGGAAGGAGGAGGGGGAAGAGGAGGAGGAGGAGGAGCAGGAGGAGGAGGAGGAGGAGGAGGAGGAGGACCCCCACCCCCCCCAACTCCTGGTGGTGGTGGTGGTGGAAAGCAGGCCCATCACTGCCCTCTTCCCGTTTCTCGGAGGCTGACCAATTCGCTTTTCGAAGCCCCCGCGTAGCTCCATCGCTGGTGCGGCCAGCTCTGCCTCGCCGCCGGCGGGAGGAGTGCGCCCGCTCGCGGGCTCCTGTGGGCAGCCCAGTGCGCCGGGTGGGCCGGGCGAGGTGTCGCCACGCGCGCGCCAGTGCCCGCGTGGGGGCGCATTGCGCTGGCGCAGCACAGTTTGCACAACATAGCTTACAGTGCATAGTCCACCGCGTACGTCTGCATACACAGCACATACGCAGCCCCCCGCGGTTGCGGATAAGAGTGATGGGGGCGGCGAGGACGTCGTCAGTCGGCGAGGCTCTGAAGAAGCCCGCCGCAGGCGCCGATTCCTTCGTTAAAGCAATGTGGGCGGGTCGCGGGGTGGGTCGGGGGTGGGTCACGGGTGGGCCGCGGGCCGGGTCGCGGGTGGGCCGCGGGTGGGTCGCATATGGGTTGCGGGGTGGTCGCGGGTGGGTCGCGGGGTGGGTCGCGGGGTGGGTCGCGCGGGTGGGTCGCGGGGTGGGTCGCGGGGTGGGTCGCGGGGTGGGTCGCGGGGCAAGTCGCGGGGTAAGTCGCGGGTGGGTCGCGGGGTGAGTCGCGGGGTGGGTCGCGGGTGGGTCACGGGCGGGTCGCGGGATGGGTCGCGGGTGGGTCGCGGGTGCGGGGTGGGTCGCGGGGTGGGTCGCGGGGTGGGTCGCGGGTGGGTCGCGGGCGGGTCGCGGGGTGGGATGACGACGACAACAACAACAAGCAGAATCTTCCCCCCTGATCCCCACTTCAGCCGCGCACCCGGGAACAAAGAATGAGCGTTCGGTCCCCCCACTGTGAGATATATATATATATATATATATATATATATATACATATACACATAGCTTGCATAACACCGCGTGCACCAAATGGATTGCACCGTATAAGTCACAGCGCACTACTTACACCACATAGCTTCCACCTGCTACATTACATCGCATAGCTCACACCTCATTTCTTCCACCTCCAGCTCACACCGCATCGTTTACACCTACAGCTCGCACCACTTAGCTTACACCGCATAGCTTGCAACACATCTTTTGCCTTTCATGGCGTCCACCTTCACAGTGCAAGAAATCACCTTCTGGGTGTCCACGCTGGCTAGCATTGTCATAGACAATATGACATGCGTTCTACCACCTACCGATTAAAAGTCTTTGATTATTTCTCTTGGCGGTCGTCGTCGCAAGCTCGTTCGAGTCATCAGCTGTGTCCGCAAGGGCGCCCCAACTTGCGCAGCAAGCGCGACTGCGCGCGGCTGGCGATTTGAGCTCTTGGAGCCAATCCCTCGCAAGGGGTCAAGAGACCTACGCATTGTCTTGCCCTCTTCCGCGAGTTAGTTCCTTTTTTTTTGGGGGGGGGGGGGAGCTTGCGCCCTTGTGCGGTGTTCATGTCGGTTAGTCAGATTTACGTGTTTCATTGGCCGACTAGTGTCGATGAGCCCTTCACGGCGCGCGCGCCTCCTGCCAGTGCGACAAAGATTCAAATTCAATCGCGTGCTCCGCTTTTTTCGGCCACAGGGCCCAACGTGAAAATTCAAGGTTGTTTTAATCGGGGGGGTTGTAGCATGTGGGGCCTCCGACGGAGCACTACAGGAAGCAGCCCTCCCGCCTGCCCTGCCCCTTGCCCTGGACCCAGCCCCCATCGCTCTCCCCACTGGCCTCCCTGGCCCACTCGTTCGTTCTCTCCCCTGGCCCGCCTGGACTTGCCTTCTGTGGTTCAGAACTCGGACATTTTTCTTTCTCTTGCACAGCTGTGTTCTAGGGGTCGGACCTCCTTATTCGCCCTCCCCCCTGGTCACATAAGGAGTCTTCTGGAGGAATGAGGCGAAAGCTTCCTGTTCCTCGCAGCTCCTTGGTGCAAGAGCCAGGGCACGCGTGTCACTCCTCCTCGGCCGCCGACGTCGCAACCTATGGCGCAACCGATAGGAGACGGTTCTATTCTTGGACGCAGCAGGCGCAACTTATGGCGCAACTGATAGGAGACGGTTTGATTCTCGGCCGCCGAGGGCGCAACCTATGGCGCAACCGATAGGCGTCGGTTTTATTCTCAGCCGCCGAGGGCGCAACTTTGGCGCAAATGACAGGAAACGGTTTTATTCTCGGCCGCCGAGGGCTCAACCTATGGCGCAACCGATAGGAGACGCTTTCATTCTCAGCCGCCGAAGTCGCAACCAATGGCGCAACTGATAGGAGACAATTTTATTGTAAAGGCCTGCGGATGCGTATCTGACTACCCTCCCCCCCTGGGACTCCTCCCCACCTGGGGAGGGGGACGCGAGGAGGACCAGCGCGCCGGAGAAGGACTTGCGTGGGAGAGGAGGACCCCAAGAGGCGATGCGAATCTGACCCCCCCCCCAGGGATCTCTCTCTCGCCGGGGAAGGGCCAAAGGGAATGGATTCCCCCTTTGACGTCATGAGGACGTGGATGGAAGTCCCTCAAGTTGCGAACCAGCTCCCCGAACAAGGCTGCTCTCTCCCTCTCTCCCCCCGACGGGAGAGGAGGACGGGAAGGAGGGGACGGGAGAATCAGGAGGAAAAGAAACACACAGACACAATTAATCCTCGATTCCCCAGAAAATATCGGAAAATATGTGAAGTGGGGCGAGCATCATTTTCATTGTGTGTGTGGGGGAGAAGACGAAGACCTCGAACATATAATAAATAATCAGGGATTTTGGGATCTGTGTGTATGTGTTTGTGTGTCCCAGGGCCCCTTGGAGGCATCATTTTCATTGTGTACTGCCTGTGCTATGAATGTTGAGGAGGAGGAGGAGGAGGAACAGAAAGTGAACATAAACCCCTATTTGCCCCTATTAGCCCCTCCGCGGGGCTAGTAGGGGAACAGAAAGTGACATAAACATAAGGACTCGGAGGTCCGCGCGGATTTCTCGGATCGGCGCTGGGGCCCCCCAGCGGCGCCTCAGGCGCCGCCCTTGGCGCGCTCCGCGCGCCAGGGGGTGGGGTCCAGCGCCGATCCGAGAAATCTGCGCGGACCTCAGAGTTTTTCTGTTTATGTCACTTTTCGTTCCCCTAGCCAAGGGCTCGGGCCGGACGAAAGGGGGGAATCAGTATGCTGTTAAGCTGCGTTGTCTGGTTGTCTGGAAGGGCCTGAGCCCAGTCTGCTTGATCCGCCTTCCAACTCCATGTTTTTACCTACACTTCTTCTGACCGACGTGTATACACATCTCGGGCCGGACGGAAGGGGGGGGATTGGGAGAGGGGGGGGGACGAAATCTGCTGCATGCAGCTGGCTTCGGCCCCACCGAGGGGGCCACTTCCTCGAGGCGTGGCCGCCTCCGGCGCCGGGGGGCGCCGGGAAAATCGGCCACGTGAGCCGATTCTCAAGCCCCTGTTTTTGCGATCCTCCCTTTCTCAAGAGAGGAAAAAACACACAGACACAATCAATCTTCGATTCCTCAGAAAATACGAGAAAATAAGGGAAGTGAGGGGGAAGACAGAAGCCCAGAAAATATAGGAAAATATGTTTTATTTGTGTGTATTTATTTGTGTGTCCTGGGGCCCCTTTACTTTCGCCCGACCCGAAGGGCGGCATCGTCGTCAGCGGCGAGCTCGGCCGGAAGACCGTGGTGCTGCTGAGCCGGCTGCCGGACCAGCGCGAGCTGCTGCCGGTGCTCTCGGAGAGAGCCCGCGCCGCCGCCGGGTCGCCAGCGCGGCCGCCGGGTCGTCGGCGCCGTCGCGGCCGCCGGCGCGGTCGCCGCCGCTCACAGGGAGGTCCGAGTTTTTCCTCAGGGCGGGGGGGGGTGCCCTGACCTTCCAGGAGGGCTAGAAAATAGCACCAGGAAGTCGACGTCCTAATTCCGGTCGAGGTTTGAGGCAGTGCAGATAGATCAATAGGTCTGGAGTGCGATTTTTTAGCACTCTGGAAGGTCAGGGGAGGCCCGAGTCTTTTCTCAGGGCGGGGGGGGGTGGCCGGGGACGGCTCCCGATGCGGGCAGCCCGTCCTTTCGCGCTGGAGCTGCCTCGGCTTGCACTCTCCACTCGAGCTCCCCCAGGCAGATCCTGGTCTGCTCCGTGCGTCAGACTTGGCGACGCTGAGCAGGGCCCTACCCAGACCAGGTCCATCCCGGGTAGATCGGGTGCCCAAGTCGCTGGCCGCCGCCGTCGTCGCCGTCGTCGCCACCGCTGTCGAGGTTCGAGGTTGGAGGAGACAGCTTGTGTATATACCCTGACGATGGCGGGCGTGACCCGGCGTGGGGGGGCGACACTAGGGGGGGAGGGGGCTGGTCGTGTCACGATGCACGCTGGCGGCGTCCGAGGATGCTCGGGAGTGGCCGACTCCGAGACGGCTCCCGCGCGAATCGTGATGTGACCGGGGGAGGGGGGGGGGCTTCCCCTGACCTTCCAGAGCGCTAAAAAATAGCACTCCAGACCTATAGATCTATCTGGACTGCCTCAAACCTCGACAGGAATTAGGACGTCGACGTCCTGGTGCTATTTTTAGCCCTCCTGGAAGGTCAGGGTTGGTGTGGGGGCCAGGAGGGGCCCGTCACGGGCGTGGTCGCGAATGATGGAGAGAACGGGCCCGAGGCTTCCTGGAGGCCTCCGTGGCCTCGGGAGGCTTCCCAATCTCGGGGGGCCTTTCCTTACCAGCCTCGAACGTATCCCTATCCCTAAGATTGACACGCCAAAAGGCGATGACAATCTGAGGGATTCGCCCTCAAATAATAAGGGAATCCCCAAGATTGGCATCGTGATGAGGAGGTGCCCAGCATAGGGATAGGTATATGTTCCAGGCTGGTAAGTTTCTGGACCTATAGACCGCCTGGCGGCTCGAGCAGATCGCGCGGCCGCATGCTTGTCGCTGCCATCTGGGGGCCATTTCTGGGCCTGGGGGCCGTCCAAAGCCGGCAGGGTCCACATGCGTAGGGAGCGAAAATGCGGGTGATGCTAGACGTGCCCTGGCCCAAGGTCACTATATCGTTTGACCGACCCCCATCCCCATCCTGTCATCCCTCTCGGGAACCCCACGAAATCACCACCCCAGTTGGGGATGCACCCCTCGAAACCCGACGGGAACGGCCTATATCCCCATCTGGGGGGGTAAGTCGGCCAGTGGGGCCCAAGCCACGCCGCGGGGGATGGTGGTCGGATAGCCGATGCTCGCAAGGTGCCCCAGGATTTCCAGGGGAGACCCCGCGGCCCCCCGGAGCACCCCTCACGAGGCCCGGAGGGCCCCCAAGGGCTCCAAGATGGAGCGCAAAGCCGGGGATTGCTCCTTGGGCAAGGGGCACCTTCAGAGCCCCGAATCATCAGGGGTAACTCGGGTCAGGGCTAACTCGGGTTCGTTTTTCGGGAATCCGAGCCCGACTTACCCCGGACCCGACTTACCCCGGATAGTTCGGGCGTCCAGAGCCCCGAATCATCAGGGGTAACTCGGGTCAGGGCTAAGTCGGGTTCCTTTTTCGGGAATCCAAGCCCGAGTTACCCCGGACCCGAGTTACCCCGGATAACTCGGGCGTCCAGAGCCCCGAATCATCAGGGGTAACTCGGGCGCCCGACACCTGTAGCAACTCACGGTGAGGACCGACCGCAGTCGGTGCCCCTTCTGTGCAGGACTCGCTGCCGGTGTCGCCACGGACGTTGACATCTGAGGCTCAGGAGGGACAAACAGAAACACAGACACAATGAATCGTCGACGCCGCAGAAAGTATGGGAAAATATGGGAAGTGGGGGGGAAGACGAAAACCCATATGGGGAATCCTGTTATTTGTGACTATTTATTTGTGTGTCCTTGGGCCCCTTCAGAGGCGCAAGGTCGCGGGCTCAACAGCGGCCGCCGTGGGTTTTGGACAGCCTCTGCTGCTGGTCGTCGTTCCCTTCCTGCTCCGTGCCCATCGTGGGCGTGCCAATGCAGCGGCACAATCGACTCAGGGTAAGTCGGGCCCGTCCCTCTGCAGGAGGAATACTCAAACATAGCCCCCCAAAATAGTCGGGGGATTCTTTTTTGGAGTATGTTTTGACCATTTTGGAGTATTTTTCAATTTTTTTTTAAGAAAAAATCGTCGAACATCCCCCTGTAAGGGGACACGCCCGACCAGAAGCTGGCCCTGGGGAGGGAGGGCAGGAGCTCCTCGCGCCAGCGGCTCCAGCAGGTCGGGTCGCCGGAGGCCCAGCCTGAGGTGGCTTCCGGGTGCTGGCCCAGGGCCCCCTTGGCGTCACAGAGGAGGGAGGGCGAGAGGAGAGAGGAGAGGCCGGCGGAAGAAGCGGGCCTGTCCCCTACAGGGGGATTTTAAAGTCAAAAAGTGCAATAAAATGCTCAACGATTGTCCAAAAATCGTCCCCATACTATTTTTGGACTATTGTTGAATTTCCCTCCTGTTGAGGGACCGGCCCGACTTGAGGCCAGCGGAAGAGGCGGGCGAGCTGGAAGAGCTCCCCGACTCTTGTGGGGCCGGTGGGCCGCCATGGGCCCTTTCTGGCCGTCCCTGGGCTCCCCTGCCCCCCCTGCTGCCCCCCTTTGCTGTCCCCCCGGTAACGTTGTGGAGGACGATCAATGGAGAGGAAGCATGTTGCCAAATAATTTCCAGATATCTAGAAAATGGATGAACATTGTTGATTTTAGACATGTTTTAAACATTTCCAGTACATGCTTCCGACATTTGAAACTCATTTTTAATTCGAGTATAGCACTGTCAGGGTGTCCATTGTCGTGGCTTTCCACAACGATAACGGTAACCCCCTGGCCCGATCCAATGCGCGATCTTGGGCAGACTACAGCCGGTCCTGATTAGTAGGTCGACCCTGCCAAATCAAGGGTACCCTTAGGTACCTTTGTGTCCTGTGCCTCGCGACCCATGCCTCCTACATCCCCCACGGCAATGTTGTATGTTCAAGCTGCTATATGCTCTGAAATACCCCTGTTACGGTTTGCAGAGCGGGGGATAAGTAGGTGTAAACATAGGGGATGATTTCGCATATTTTTGCTCGATGCTGCACGTTGCTGAGTTTCATCATTATAATCTTGCCATATGATTTCGTAAAGGCGTGAATTCTTGACGCAGCGCGTATCCCTACCAGCCCGCCCAGAAACGATGTCATGACAGCTGGTGGCCTCTTGGAGCGTATGGGGGGGACATTTGGGGTCCCCGCGGATCCTCTTGAGGCCTCTTGGGGGTATTCTTGGAGCGCTTTCGAGACCTCTCAGGCACCTCTTAGGGCTTCGTTGGCGCATTCTGAGGCCCTCTTGGGGCCATCTTGGGAGCCTTGGGGGCGCTCTTCGAGCCATCTTGGAAGAGATCGATCAACGGAGGATGGGGACTCCATTAATCCGAGTCCCCCTCGGGAGCACCGAAAATCGCCTCTTGGGGTGCTCTGCGGTCTTGGAGCGCTCTTGGGCGGTCTTGGGGCCGTATTGGGGCTCTCTTGGGCCCCTCCTGGGGCCCTCTTGGGCCCTATTGGAACCATCTTGGCCTCGGATGGCCATCGGAAGCGGAAAAGCGAGAAGGCAAAAATCACTGGCTGTCCTGAGGTTTTGAATCATTGTGGCTTATTACAGGTACCTTTGGGAAGCTCCTTGGCCCCTCGGAGCCGTTTTGGGGCGGTCTTGAGGCCTCTTGGGGCATATTGAGAGCCGCCTGCAGGGAGCCATCATCTTAGGCTATCTTCTTGAGCCATCTTGGAGCTCACCTTGGGCTCTTTGAGCCCCTCTTGGAGCCGTCTTGGGCGAGAAAGTACCGTCCGAGACCTCGCGACCGCCCCAATCCAGGTCCAGGGGAGGTTGTAGAGGGGAGGGCCCCCCCCCGAAGGAGAAGAATGGGGGTTGGAAGAGTGAGCTCCCTAGACCACCTACGCCCAGGGGGCTGGTGGGATTCAAAGCACTAGGTGTCTGAACACATCGTATGGGGTAGTGGGTGCTTGCGAATGTCATTCGACGGTGTCCATAACTGGTTTCTTCGGCTATCCCACCATCGAGTTCCATCGTTCTCCGTGGACCTGTTTACACGACAGGACATAATGCTCCCTGCCCCCAGGGGGGCGCCGCCGACGACGAAGACGAAAATGACGACGATTACGACGACGACGACGACGACGAGCTGGTCTATCAAACGACGCACCCCCTCTGATAACGTTGGTCCACGGATAACGTTGGTTCAGGCCCCCCCCCTTCCGCAACGGGCGGGGGGAGCCATTTTGGCTCTGGCCATGTTTGAGTTTTTGTACCAGGGCGACCTGGAGGCGCCAGCCCCTGAGGGGCCCGAGGCGCCAGCGCCTGGGGCGCCCGCCGCGGCGCCAGATGGCGCGGCCAGTGCTGCTGGAGGCCGCGGGCGAGGAGCCCGAGGCCACGGGCGAGGAGCCCGCGGTGGCGCTCCAGGCCGAGGCAGGGGACGAGGCAGGAGCTCTGGATTCTCTCGCAGCGAGGCCGAGAAAAAGACGAGGGAGCTCAGGCAGAAGTCTAAACAGTGCGAGAGGTCGGAGCTGGAGTGCGGCGTCATGTTCAACGCCCTGAACCCGGATGAAGCACATCAGGCGTCCATGGTCTTGGCCACGTCACACGATGCAAATGTCAGCACGAAGATCGATGTCGCCATTGTTGGCGGCCAGGTCATTCGCGTCAAGAACATTCGAAGCAAAGATTC